GTAACCTTGAACAGCTTACTTAAAGCTCCTGAAGCCTTAACTTTCTAAGTCATAGGATTTTGGATATTAAATTAAATGTAATATGTAAATGTCATCCTTGGCCCATAGTTGATACTCCATAAGAGATCACTGTATCATTAACATTATTAATAAAATAGTAACTCAAAAATGTTTCTTGAATTCCTGTTTTGCAAGCCATGTTAGCCAGAGTAGTGGTTATAAAAGCAATTTCAGAAGTAAACCATGGTCACTGATTCCAAAGAGTTTACAGCCTAATTTGGAAAATTAGGAAGTCATGCCAAAAGCCATAATATAAATCATCGTAATAAAAATGTTATATCTGCATATCTATGTATATTTACATATCTGCATATATATACCCACCTCAAAGACTTCTCGTGGGTCAAAGAGGACGAGATCATTTTTATTTGGAGAGGAGAGGAAAGGCTTCATGAAGAAAATGGTGGCACTTGAAACAGTGATTGGTTTGTCTTGTTTTAAGTGTGATGTGCAGGAACGCAGGGGTATGTGTCTGAAAAGGGTCTCATGACTGAATCCTGGACTGTCAGGCTGAATTTTTCTCAATTTGTTGGAAGCTGAGTAAGACATTGCTCGATGGGGTGGTGTTTTAGGACATTTTGGGGACAGTAGTATAGGGCTCTTCTGTTATTAAAATATCTATATAAGAAAATTTTAAACTCTTTATCCCCAAGTCTACTTTGTGTTGTGAAGTATTATTATTTTAATTGTATTTTCAGAAACTCCTGTAGTTTGGGTTATTTCCAGATTTGACATGGTTTATAAACTCTTTGAAAACAGATCCTGTTCAGTTTGATAGCATTTACCAAAGCACCACCTACTGAATTTACAAAAATAAACTTAGTGATCTTTGTTTTTCATTGATTAAAAGACCCAGCAATGACAATGGTTTTGTTCCCTGAATTTGGATACAGTGGCCACTAGCCACTACTGTTCTTTAGATCTGTGAGCAGCACAGATGATTGAAGGAGACCAAACTAGACCATCCATTTTCATAGAGCCAGAACCAAGACAGAGAAACCAGCCCCGAGCAGGTCAGGTTTGAGGGCTAGGGAACACCTTTGATTCTTTATGTCCGCATCTCTAGGAAAAGTCCCTGTGGGCTCTGAGACCCCGAGGCACGGAGCTGCGGCTGCTGTCCCAAGGGTGTTGTGTCACTAAATGCAGTGGAAGTAGATGGTGACAGAGAGGCATCTCACATCCAGAGCTCCATCTCGTTAAATCAAAGTGCCTAACGCCTTCCCGCAGATCTCTCCTTCCTTAAGCCTTGCCTGGGGTGCCCACTCTACCGCCACCCATCTCCGCCCTGGGAACACACTCCTATGGTGTGGTGCAGGAGGGAAAACACAGGTATTGGTGTCCGGCAAGTCTGGATCCTTATCTTACCTTTTCTCACTATTCTTGTGAGTTTGGGAAATTTTTCTTATTCATAAACTGGAGATTTAAAAACCTACCTCCTGAGAGACAATGCATGTGTAGGTTAAGATCACAATTCTGGAGTCAGATGGTTTGGGTTAGAAGCCCAGGTTTTGCCACTTCCCAGCTGTGTGAGCTTGAGCCAGTCTCTCTATGCCTCAATTTCTTTGGCTGTAAAATGGAGATCCTATGGCTATGAAATGAGTTAACATATGTAAGTATCAGAGTAGTGCCCAGCTAGATATGTGTTACTTACCATTAGCCATCCCTAGACTGTGATGATTAATCAAGGTGATCTGTTTAAGACACTTAGCAAAACACCTTTGTTAGTGGGTTCCAGGGTTCTGGATAATATAT